ATGTTACTAGAGAAGCATGTGTATTATTATATAACATATTTCTTTCTAAAACTATTTTGAAAAACTGTACTTTGATATGGTTGGTTTCCTTAGCAACACTACATATTCTAAGGGATACATTTAAAACATTATTTTGAGGCACTTTCCCAAAGAGATAAAGGGTTGAAAGCCTAAATTTTGCATACAGACTCAAACTTTAGACTTCAAATTTCTCTCCCTTCTTTTTGTAGAGTTTGATTAAATTTTTTATTGCTCCAAGTCTTGCAAATCCCACTAGGAATAATGACACTCGTCCCTCTCCCCAACACCCTAGTTTTACTGAGAAATAATTGACATACATCACTGTATACATTTGAGGAATATAGCATGGTGACCTGATTTACATATGTTGTGACATGGTAACCACAGTAGTTTCAGGGAACATCAATCTTTTCCTATAGAGAAAATTAAAGAAGAAAAAAATTCTCCTTGTGATTGGAACTCTTAGAATGTACTCTTTCATATATACTCTAAAGCAGTGTTAGCTACAGTCATCATGTTGTCTATTCTATCCCTCAGATTTATCTTGGTACCAGATGTTTGTACCTTATAGTCACCTTCTTCCTAATCATCCTCCTCCCATCCTCCACCTCTGCTAACAAGTCTGATCTCTTTTTCTATTATTTGTATTTTTTGTTTGTGTGTTTTAGATTCCTCCTAAAAATGAGATTATACAGTATTGGTCTTTGTCTGACTAAATGTTACTTAGCATAATTCCTTCAAGGTCCATCCATGGTATTGCAAATGGTATGATTCCCTAGTTTCTCATGGCTGAATAATATTCCATTGTATATATCCCACAATTTCTTTACTCATTTATCCATCAGTGGACACTTAGGCTGCTCCCAATTCATGGCTATTATGAATAATGCTGCTATGAACACAGGGGTGCAGTAACCCTTGCTAGTTACGGTTTTCATTTCCTTTGGATATGTTCCCAGAGGTGGAACTGCTGGATCATGTAGTAGTCCTATTTTATTTTTCTGAGGCCCCTTCATACTCTTTTTCATTGTGGCTGTACCAATTTATAATCCCACCAGCAGTGCATAATGGTTCCCTTTTCTCCATATCCATGCCAGCATTTTTTCTCTCTTTTTTTTTAAGATGGCAATTCTAAAAGGCATGAGGTGGTATGTGTCCCTGTGGTTTACCTATGACTAATGAGTTGTGTAAGTTCTTCATATATTCTGTAGATAAACTCCTTGTAAAATATATGATTTTGCAAATATCTGTTCCCATTCTATAAGTTGGTTTTCGCTTTGCTGGTGGTTTCTTTTGCTGTGCAGAAGCTTTTTAATTTGTTGTACTCTCACTTATTCTTTAGGTGTCCTATCCAAAAATTCATTACCAACACCCAGTTCAAGGAGCCTATGCTTTCTAGTAGGGGTTTCCTTGTTTCAGGACTTACATTCAAGTCTAATTCATTTGAAGTTAATTTTTGTGAGTCTAGTTTCATTCTATCACATGTGAATATCCAATCAGCCCAATACCATTGATTGAAGAGACTGTCTTTCCTTCATTGAGCAATCTTCGTTCCCTGTCCAATATGAGTTTTTCCATGTGTTTGGGTTTATTTCTGGGTTCTCAGTTCTGATTCACCAGTTTATTTGTATTTATGCCAGTACCATATTGTTCTGATGACTATAACTTTATAATATAGCTTGAAATCAGGAAGTGTGATGCCTCTTGCTTTGCTCTTCTTCCTCAGGATTCTTTTGCGATTTGGGTCTTTTGTGGTTCCATATGAATGTTAACAGTGTTTTATCTACTTTTGTAAAAATGCCATTGCACTCTTGATAAACATTGCATTGAATCTATACAGAGCTTTATGTATTTTACATTATACAGAATTAATTCTTCCAAGCATCAACATGGGACAGATTTCCATTTATTTGAGTCTCTGATTTCTTTCATCAATGTCTTGTAGTTTTCTTAGTAGAGAACTTTCACCTCCTTAAATTTATTCCTAAGTATTTTGTTTTTAATGCCATTGTAAGTGGGAGTGATTTTTCAGGAATCTGTTGATAGTGTATAGAAATGCTACTGATTTTGTATATTAATTTTGTATCTTGCAACTTCACAGAATTCATTGATTAGATAAAACAGGTATCTTTTTTTTAAGTCTTGGGATTTTCCATATAGAAAATATTACCTGCAAATACAAACATTTCTGCTCCCCTTTTCTTTCAATTGTGATAACTGTTATTCATTTATTCTGATTACCCTAGTGAGGACTTCTAGTACTATGTTGAATAGAATTGGTGAGAGTGGGTACTATTTTCTTGCTCCTGATTATAGAGGAAAAGCTTTCAACTGTTCACCATTAAGTATGAATGTTAACTCTGGGCTTGTGACACATGGCCTGTATTATACTGCGATATGTTCTTTTATGTGTAATAGGTTAAGAGTTTTTATCACAAATGAATGTTCGATTTTGTCAAATGCTTCTATGTCATTTGACATCATTGAGATGATCATATGATTCTTTTCTTTCATTCTGTTGACGTGATGAAGGTGTGCTACTTGCTGAGAATAGACTGGTAGGACTGCTGTCTTAGTTCCCTACCTAAGCAAGACTGTAGGAAGGGTTCTGTGGTTGTCTGGATTCTCTGACCAGGACTGGAACAGAGCCACTGGCTTTGCTCTGGAAACTCTCAGTCCTGTGCACCACCTCTTTGCACATTGTCCCTGGGTTGCACTGCTTCTAGGAGTTTTCACCAGTCCTCCTAGGCAGGTGGGGTCAGTGGGCAATGGGTGGGGCTGTGTACTAGCTTCCTTGCCTGAGTGGAAGGGGGTGGGCCACTCCAGGCTACTCTCAATTCTCAGGAAGGCTCTCCAGTTGGAAGGGGCTGGGATTTACCTTCAGTCTAGGCTATGCTTTAACTCCTTAACCATTCGTTTAGCACAGGAATGTTCCACTGATACTGGTTTTGCTCTGGGTGCAATCAACTTCCCTCACCCATCTCTCAGCTTGAGTGCTGCTGGGCTATACTGCTTCCAGGATTTGCCATAAGCCCTTCTGGTCAGAAGGGGCAAGAAAACGCTCTTCACAGCAGGTAGGATTGTGATTTAGCTCCCTTGCTGGGCATGGGCAAACCAGGCTCTAAGGTCAGCAAAACTCCTTTATGGATCTGAATCAAGCAGATCTGTACCTCACCCTGTTATTTGATCAGAGTGTCCCCATGACTTGGTCCTGTAGATGAGTAAAACCGCTGTTTAGGATTAGTCCTTGGGCACTGCAGGTATAAATTTGGTCTGCCAAAATCTGTGTGCTGATTGTTGCAAGCCCCTTCCCACTTCTCTATCACAATCAGTTACCTGGTGGTTGAGCCCCAGTGATTCCCCTGCAGTCCCTGTGGTGTGAGATCAGAGCATGTGCTCCCACAAAGCAACTGAGAATGTTAGGGTGCTGCAGATTGTCTACCCTGGGCTTTCTTTTCCTACGAGAGTGATAGGAGGCTCAGGAGAGACTTCCCTACATGGTCTTGCCCAGGTGTGGTGGAAGGACAATGCAGTCACTGTGTAGCTGCATCTCTTACCTTTTTATTTTTATGTTCAGTTAGCCAACATATAGTATGTCATTTGTTTGTGATGTAGTGTTCAATGATTCAGTAGTGGCAATATAACACCTAGTACTCATCACAACACGTGCCCTCCTTAATATTCTCTTACCTTTCTAATGCCATCTGTCTTAGTCTCTGTGGTGCAGGACTTTCTTCAGCCCCGGAGAACCCAAAAGCCCCATGATCTAGGCTTCTCTCAGTGGTGTCTTATTCTTCAATATTGTTGGTTGTTCTTCCTGTGTGGGGGAACAAAGTCAGCAAGAACCTATGTTGACTTCTTAGTGAGATCAGAATGTGATAGGCTTTTTAAAGAACTCTACTAAATCATATGATCAAATTATTTTCATTAACTTTAATTAATGATAATCGATATATAAGCTCCTATGCCATCTCTAAAGAAAAGGCACAAAATGAAAAAGATATAGGGGTGCCTGTATGGTTCAGTAGGTTAAGTGTCTGCCTTTGGCTCAAGTCATGATCTTGGGGTCCTGGGATTGAGACCAGCATCAGACTCCCTGTTCAGTGGGGAACCTGGTCTTCCCTCTTCCTCTGGTGTGCCCCCTACTTGTGCTCTCTCTTTATCAAATAAATACAATCTTTAAATAAAATGAAAAATATAGTTTTCAAGGGAGGTATTAATCTCTGGAATGAATAGACTGATAATGGTAGGCAGTGAGAGAATGGGATAGAGGAGGTGGATTAGTGCTGTTTAGTCTGAACACAGAAAACCAGTCAACTTGGTGGCTTCAAATGGAAAAGTAGTGACAGTACGTATGTTATTTTGGAAATTTACTGATCGTTAGGATTTCCAGCCTAAACTGGGGATGGGATTGCCAGAGATTATGGCATACTATCTAGTTACTCCTTAGTTTCCCAGCTTTTTCAAAACAGGTTATTTTTTGCAAAAAAATGTCAGTTCTGTAAGGTACTTCAGCTTTTTTTGATTTCTAATATCTTAGTGACTGTCTTTTCAGGGAAGAAACAACAGTTGTTTGCCCACGGTGTCAAAACAAACAGACACAGAGGAGGTGTGGCAATAGCAGCATAAGATTCAAGAGTTTTAGTTGATAATAAAGTGAAATTAAGTCCCATGCTTTATTAATTCAATCTTTTTTTATTATTAGATTTTTCATATTCAGAATAAAGAAGACCTTTTGATCTACTGTACATTTACAGATGACACTAAAAATGAATGCACCATCCTAAAGGTATTTTTACAACACCAAAAATTCCAACTAAAGCAGCTTGATCCTCTTCTGTATAAAGGGGATTCTAGGAATGGCTGGTAGTGACTGAGAGCAATCCTAAAGTCTTCCAAATCTGATTTATACAATTTTATAGGTTATATGGACCTATGTTTGGCATGAGGTGACTTCTTACTGAAAAAAGAGACAAACTATGAGACAATCAAATCAGACACAGGTGACTGAATTCCTCCTTCTGGGACTCTCTGATGACCCCCACACCCAGAAGCTGCTATTCATTGTATTCCTGGGTGTCTACCTGGTCACTGTACTTGCAAATCTGCTTCTCATGTGCCTTGTGCAGGTTGACTCCCGGCTTCACACACCCATGTATTTTTTCCTTTGCAACTTATCTCTGGCTGACCTCTGTTTTTCTACCAACATCGTTCCTCAGGCCCTAGTCCACCTGCAATCCAGGAAGAAGGTCATTTCATTCACACGTTGTGCAGCTCAACTTGCACTCTTCCTAATTTTCGGGGGTACACAGTGTGCCTTTCTGGCAGTGATGTCCTATGATCGGTACGTGGCCATCTGCAACCCTCTGCATTACCCTAGCATCATGACGTGGAGGGTGTGTGTCCAGCTGGCTGCAGGATCATGGACCAGTGGCATTCTGGTGTCTGTGGTGGATACCACTTTTATACTAAGGCTACCCTACCGAGGCAGCAATAGTATTGCTCATTTCTTC